AGACAGAGAGAGGCTAAAGAGCACAAGAAAATAATGTAAATAGTCAGATTTTGCAGTTCACACCTGGCAAGATAGGCCAAGTCCAAGGTGTTCCAGATGCAGATAGAGATAATCTAAACCATATATATAAAAGTATAAATATTTATTAAGGTGTACACATGTTAAAACTTTCCTGATTAAAAATTACTTTGTCTAAGATCAGACTAAAAGCTTATCCACTATACATACATATGATGGGTAAATACATTACAACTGAAGACCAAACGTGTTTCGGCCCCTAAGGGCCTTCCTCAGTGGTCACTATTATCTATATATTCTAGACACACATTCAAAGACCTGTTACAGAGTTTTAGTACACATATAATTAAACCGGATGTTGTTTCCTTGTATACTTATAATTGGACTCCTGGTATTAGTGATGGGCCATAGGTATAGCCATATCACCTCCACAACTTATTCTGGTAACAGCGATTTTGTAGGTCTGAATGTGTGTCCCTCCATCAAGGTGAAAATAGAATAGGTGCAGAAAATGAAAGAACTGGAATTCGTGTTTATGCTGCATTTTTGGACCCGTGTGCTAGGTCATTTTCACAAGGTCAGCAAAGCCCTTCAGAAATCAGACCTGTTATTGAGTTCTTGTGCAAGTTTGTACAGTTCACTTCTGGATTTTTTAAGGAAAATTAGAGAAGATTATGATGAGCTTGAGAAAAAAGCAAAAGCCACCTTGCCAAATGTTAACTACAAAACAAGGAGACAAAGAGTAAGGGAACGGCAAAGAAATGACAGAAGTGCATCCGATGCCTTAGATGCACTTTCTTCAAGAGATAAGTTTAGGATAAAATCCTTTATTCCTGTGTTAGATTCACTTGAAGCCAATTTAAAAATAAGAAGTACTGTGTAAAGTGCACAATTGCACAATTGTTTTCCATTCTTGCTAATCTGACAGCATATAAGCAAGAAATTCAGCAAGGTGTTCAACTGTTGATGGAAGCATATCCAGAAGATATTGACTTGAAACTTATTGATGAACTTTTGCACTTTCACCTGTACGTGAGACAAAGCATAGGCTTACAGAAGAGCAGTCTCTGTCTCATACAGACCTTTATCAAATTATATACAAGGAAAAAATTCAGATGGCCTTTCCTAATATGGAAGCAATCTTGCAGCTATTTCTTAGATTTATGGTCACTAACTGCTCGTGAGAGAGGAGTTTTTCAAGACTCAAAATAATCAAAAATGAATGAAGGGCCACGATGTCTCAAGAGAGGTTGTCCACACTGAGCATTCTGTACATTGAAAGTGACAAACTTAGACAAACAAATTTTGATGATGTTTTGGATGATTTTGCTATGAGGAAGGCTAGAAAAAAACATTTTTAGTCTTGCTGTATTTGATGGTTGTAGTTTACTTCTTAATATGTGTTTTAAAACTGACTGTTTAATGACAACATAAAGTAGATTCTAAAAGTGCCACAATGTCAGGTAATCATGATCATATTATTTACACTTTCCAGGCAATATAATTTGTAAACTCAAGTTTTTTTTTAAGAATAACATTACAACATTTTCCTAAAAATTAATGCTTATTCCACAAAAGGGTTACAAAGTTCAGTTATTGCAAAAGTTTTTCAGTGTTAATGTTAACATTTATGCATTTTTTTTCAATCACTATGGTATTTAACAATAACATCTTATGCCCTTTAGAGGAGAAATTGTGAATTGCAGAATTTTAAATACCCGTCACCATCCTCGGCTTCACTCAATTTTGTTTATAACACTCTTCCATTTTCTTCTAGTTGTGAGGGTGGGGGGTTGGGAGGGGCCTCACGTGGAGTAGCCTAGGGCCTCTCTTCATCTAAATCAAGCCTTAGTGTAAGGTGATGCACAGTGGAACAACAACAAAAATCCCAACTTCAAGTAAAAGCTAATGGTGTCTCAACTTGCTGAGACTGAAAGGGAGAAAAATGGGGTCGTAGTGGATAGCTCAATTAAAGGGTCAACCCAGTGTGCCACAGCAGTGAAAAAGGCAAACTTTATGTTGGGGATTATTAGGAAACATATGGAAAATAAAATGGCCAATTTGGGGGGCTTCCTGAGATCATGTCAATGTACAGTCATTCCCGGCACAAAAGCAGAAGTGATGTTATCACGGCAGGACAATGCTCTAGGATTCACCCAGCAGTATGGTTTAACCAATATGATGATGTCACTTCCAGTTTTGCTCTGGAAGTGACATCATGTGTCAGTGCAACTGCCTCTGCCCCCAAGCATCTCCTGGCATGTTGCCAGCTCTGGCTGACAAGCCTAGTTTAGGGTTGCACTGTACAGTGGTCTTGTACAGCTCTCAAAATCAATACTAAAATTGTTTCTAGACAACTGCAGCTTCTCGAAATGCAAACAGCTAATTAGAGTTTACAACATACTTTTTTCTACAGACCATTCTCAGGACAAGGGAAATATAAGCAGAAGGATAAAAGAGCTCATTCAAAAGAAACAACTCACCTATGCAGAGTACAGAAAATCTGCTGAGTTCATATCTTAATTTATAACTGAAATGCTATGCATACTTGAACACACAGTATGCCCAACTAAACTTGTTTTGGATTGTGTATATTTCTAGTTTAGGTACACAGTGATAAGGCTTTTTGCACAAAGCTTTGCTTCTGGTGTCAAAAGTACAGACTTGTTTCAGTGATTGTTTAAAATCTGGTAACTGATTAACTAAGCTTAGTAATTGATTTATTTTAAAATTTGCAAATGGTGGGGTGCATGCTGCTGGGGAACGTGCTACATATTAGGCTATTACATTGACACCTGAGAGGATACTTCTAAATGATAATGGTGACTAGTTTTCTTGTTAATTAAAAAACTGTATTTTTAAAATTAAATGTGCTGCTGAAAAAGGATTCATTGGGCCCTTTGAAAATGATCTGCTTTTATGTTCCTCCTTACAAAAAGTTATCTGTTAATGTGGAAGTCTAGATGAAACAGAAGTCTGTGATTACCTGGTTTAGGAATGGGGGTATCTTCTAAATTCCGGGCTTCGCACAAGGCCTGCAATAAATTCAAAAAAGGATCTAGGCCTTTTATCTAACCCCTCATGCATCCCAGTGATATAACCACTGTGTACGAGGGCCTAGACACTCCTAAGCAGGCTATGGCTTGAGCAGCAGTGAAAAGATTCCCCACCCACACCCCATTCAGGACATCATTAGTTTAAAAAGTCTGGATGTGATGGGCATAGCCAACCTTCAGCATCAAGGGAAATGTAGTTTCCATGTGCCAAAAAATATGCTGGGCCTTAAAACAAAACAGATATACAAAGAACAAGAGATATAATAAAAATCTCCCCATTAGAATTTCTGCCTAGATTCAGGGATTCCAAATCATGTAACCTTATTTCACAGTGGAATTGAGGCACTATTAAGTAGTCATCATTTTCTTTTGGATTTCTAGACTTTATACAGGCTACTGTACACATGCAGCTTTTATCTCTTCCCCTTATATTTGCTGATGTGCACCACAGCATATGGCATTGAATAAATCACAACACAAAATAGAACCGTTCTGAGTTTCTGAACACAAGGAAATTACATATTTCAAGATCCCTGGGCATGTTCAAAGTATTTGGAGTGATAAGATCTCACATACCATGGCTGGGATCTAACTGATATTTAAGGGGTTTTCCACATGCGGATGGGCAGATTTCCCATTGCTGCGATGCCTGCAGATACAGTTCAGCAGCAATGGGGCTTCCACATATCTTCCCTTCCCCACCCCCCACCTCCAAGGTAGCTATTCCACTCCCTGAGCAACTAGGGGCATTTTAAGTTTTTGAATATATTTATGACATTAGAACTAGAGGTGTGTATTCAGTTTATCTGAAAAGGAAAAAATGCTAAAAAAATACATTGCTGGTATTTTTCGGATAGAGATTAGAGAATCTGATTTGGCTACTGATACAGCTGAACCTGAATAAAAGCTGATATCATTCAGTTTTTATTTGGACACAGCTTCCATCGAAGGCAATGGAAGATGGGGCACCTTCTTTGTAGACTGACAGACTTGAACCCTGTGGTCCCATTGTTTTAAAACTTGGGGTGGGTGAGGAGAGGCACCAGCAGCTATGCTGGAAATTTGGTGCCTCTACCTCAAAAACAGACCCCCAGAGCCTCAAATAACCTTGGATCGATTCACCATTATACCCTATGGGGACCATACTGGTATCGAGATTAAGGAATATGGGGAAATACCGATATTTTGGGGTTCAATGTACCCGAATCTGAAAAATACTGGTTTGGGGTTTTTTGCACAACCCTAATTATGACAAGTTGTTCATCAGGTTCTTTGAATCCCTGGCTTTCATCTGAAAAAGTCTCCAATCCCTTTCTTTGTGGAGATTACAATGGAAGAGACTAGAAACCTACTTTAAAAAAATGAAATTCAGAGGACCTGAGAGATGGGGTGTTATAAAATTATAATGATATTCAATTGCTGTTTGCTTGTTTTACAAAAATGGTCATGTGTTACCAAGGAAATGGTCTTTGCAGAGGTCTCCAATAGGAAAAGTGGCATTGTTGTGGGTAGGACTGGGAAGATCCAGCCTTCCCTATCCACAAGGGTGCGAACCTGACTTTGCTGCAGTCTTTCCCAAAACATTGTAACAAAGCAGATTCTGAATTGCAGGAAAAACAGAGAAAGTGCATGGAAACACCATGATGTTGTGGGGAGGGAGAAAACAACACTTCCTAAGAGCATCCAAGCCATGATGAAGAATCTGTATGTAAGTGATTTCCAGAATGGTTTCTGTACATTACCATAATTAGTTCTATAATCAATTATTGTCATTAGGTAAATTAGTTACTTTTAAAGGAAAATCAGTAACTTCTATCAGTCCCTACATCTATCATACTCTCATTCCATACCACTATATCTACCTTTCTCATATAACTAACATTTTTGGGAAATCCATGAAAAGAATATTGATGTATGTAAACATACCATTCTGACACCATTCTCAAAAGCCTGGCGTGTTAAAGGAGCAGGTCCATCAACTGTCTTCCCATCATCATCTGGCCCCCAGCTAGCACTGTAGATGTGTATGTGTTGGGGATTGAGGCTTAGTGATTTTGCTTCCACCATGTCTGTAACATCACCATCTAGCATCCGTACCCCTGAAAAATAACAAATCATATGAGAAAAGAACTATTAAGGATTTTGCAGACTTTAGCGTGAACTACTTTCCTTTTCTTGAGCATGAAACAGTCTAAACATCTTATAAATAAATAAAAGGAAGCAAAGGGCCACTGAATTAATTAACACCTATATTTTGCTGGCAACAATTATTTTAAAGCTCAGTCCCAACCCATGAGTAATCTTTCAATGGACAAAATCAAATAAAATTCAATTAATATTGAGCTTTAAGAAAACAAGTTCACACTTACCTGTAACTATTGTTCATTGAGTGGTCATCTGTGCAGGCACACATAGGTTCTGTGTATGCACGGGTCTCTTGTGGAGAGGTTGTTTTGAAGCGCTAAAGAAGAAGAAGGTCCTCCCATTCCCACCCCCTGCTTTCCCACCTTCTGTGTATTGCCTTTGGAGTAAACTGTCTACAGATGGGGAGCCTGGAGACATTATGCTCCTCACTCAGGCAGAGTAGACAGAGAGTATGGTCACCAGAGTGAGGAATTTTGCCCCAAAAGATGCACATTTTGTTTTTTTTAAAAAAGCATTTTGTGACATATTTTGTCACAGTCTGATCTTTAATATTACTCTTTAAGATAGAAATGCCTCCTATTCTCCTCAGAGAAGAAGCTTTGAGCAGGAGAACCTCTCTGAGATGTGGCAGAAAGAGAGACCTGAGGGAAGGGTGCTCCTCCCTCCTTTTCACACTACAAAAGGTGGGAAAGCAGCATGGGGGACAGAAAAGGAGCACCCTCTGCTTCTTTAGAGCTACAAAAAAACCCCTTTCTGTGGTAGGAGGCCTGAGCACATGCAGAACCCATGTGGGATTTCACAAGGACCAAAATGATGAAGTTAGGTTCTAAAGTAAGTTGTTGCTTGGACATCAAAAGTTACAACAGGCTGTGGTGGTTTCAAGCAAACTTAAATAGGTTATGCTGCTATGAGTTTCTCCCTACCCTTTAACTTATTTCCAAAGTTGTGTTCCAGCACTTTGAGATACTGCATATTCATCACAAACATTGCAGCAACATGTTGTTTGCTGTGATGCCAATGCCAAGGGATAACTCACACCTGATTCACACAACTATTGGACATGTGGTAACCTCTGGAAAATAGCTTTAAAATTCTCAACATGTCAGCTTCATACTCATGGCCTGCTGGTTAATTTGTCACACACACAGCATTTGGATTTCTGCATGGCAAAATAGTAATAGTAATAGGTATAATACTAATAATGCTGATGATAATGATGCTTGTGATGGCATGTCAGAATTTTGGTGCTGAATGTCATAGGGAGGTGAAATGCCACAGTTTTCAAGAAGATTCTGTTCAGCAATTCTCATATTAATTGTGCTTTAGACAGGTTTTGTGTTGAGCTTAGAACAAGTGGGGGGCAGCGAAACTCACATGGGGAAGTCTCATCTCTCACCATTTTGTGAGTCCAGCCCCAACCACCCGCCTTGAAGCCCTGTGTTGGCAGTGTCTAGGATCCACCCCAAGCTCAGAGTTGCTCCCAGTGCCTGCTGCTGCTGAGCCTGGAGTGGCTCGTGGCATCTGCCATTGCTGTGGCAGGGCCTCAAGCAGCTCCCAGCATCTGCTGCCATGGCAGAGTCCAGAGTTGCTTCTGGCATCCACTGCTGCTGTAGCAGGGCCCCAAATGACTCCTGGCATCTGCTGGCACCACGGTAGAGCCTAGAGCAGTTCCTGGCATCCGCTGCCATTGTGGCAGGGTATGGAGCAACTCCCAAACGGCCTGCCATGGCTCTGAGGCTCCACCAAACAGGTAAGGAAATAACATTCAGTCCTTTACTTTTTGGGGATTTAAACTCCCACCCGTGTATTTTTTTAAAAACATTCCAGATTTTTTTGCACACTTGGGGAATCCCCCAACTGTGCAGAAAAATCTCATTAGCCTCCACGTGGCCCCAATTTGCTATTTAGCTATTTACAGATCGTGGCCACATGTGGCTAAGTAGTATATAGATTCCATTTCCTTTATTTCAGAAGTAGTTAAGAAGTATTTCTCTTTGATGTAGGAAATCTAAAATGCTGACTGTGTCTAGTCAAGATACATGTCCACCTCAATATAGAACTTCATTCCTCAATTGGTACCAGGCCAACATTTGCATCTGTCCACTTCTATATAATCTAAAATGCAGGTTGTATGATTCAACAGGAGTACAGCAGCATCACATGCTGTACATGCCTTGACATCCCTGCAGTAAACATAGCCAAACTATTTTCTCATTTAATAAGTACATGTCTATTTTTAAGCCAAATTAGCATCTTTTAATTATAAAACTGAGCAGCTTTGTTCCTGCCTTTGGTATGAATTAGCTTGAGTGTTTCTCCAGTTCTTAAAGTTCCAATTAACACAGAGCTTGGCTGTTTTGTTAGTAGAGCTCTAATTTTCCTCTCCCCCTTCTAATTGAGTTGAAACTGCATGATGATCATACTGTGAAGTTCACACAAAAGCTGCCCATACTTTGTGAGATAATACTTGAACAAATACTTATCTCACTGTGAACTTCACTTTAATTCAAGTCACAGTTCTTTATATTTTATCCTAAGAAGTGAAATCTTCAAGACTGTACTGCCAGGAAATGTCAGGAAATTAATTAGTTGTAGAAGATGAACACATGAAGGTTCTTATACGAAATCAGATCATTAGCCTTTAGTGTTTACTGTCTACTCTGGCAGGCAGGAACCTAAGATCTTTCTAAGCACTTCTTCCTTAGATACTTCAGTGGAGATTCCAGGAACAGAACCATCTTTTTATTGGAGGGTTTTTTTTTTGGGGGGGGGAGGAGTTTAAATTGTTCTTGGATTGCTTTCCTGTGTAGGTGATACGCTGGCCTTCCAGGATCTTAATTTTGTCAGTTATTTTCTTGATTTTCTTTTTCTTTGAGGCAAAATCCATCAATAAATGCTTCCCATATAGTTGCCTTAGGGAGATCATCTGTAATATTTAATTTAAAAAAATTCTTCTATGTCCTGTTCACAAGTTTTAAAAAATATCTTCCTGCAGCAAGAGATTATCATTCATTTGCCATCTTCTTCTTACAGGCATTTCTCTATGCCATGAAACCACTAATGGATTATGATCAACAATTGTTTTTGGCTGGATTGCAATGGATCTCAAGTTTGTAAGTAAAGTCTTAGATGTCCAGCACCCAGCACAAATTTGTGTGGACTACTGTCATTTTCATCAGATGTATGAAATGTGTTCTCACTAGCAGTCATTTACACTTCATGCATTTGACTAAGTGTCTTCAATGAACTTAGAAGGGTGTAACACTATTATGTAGTTTTATCCCACTTGTGGCAAAAACATTACTTTCAGAACAGTAATTTAGTAAGAAACTAAGTGTTTCTTTGACAGTTTCAAAGCAATGCATTAACCACTAAAACATAATGTTGTATTGAGATTATTATTCATTCTAATCATTTGTCTCTTACAGTTACAGGTAGTCAGCCCTCTGACTACCATTAAGAGGAGAGGAATGTTTCAACTGCAGTGATAAAGGCTGTACTTTTATCCAGGGGTCATTTTGTAGAAAAAGAGGTGCAGGAACTCATTACCATAACTTATTTGCATATGCCACACCCCCTGACATCACCCGAAGTGTGTCAGAAGGCAACACCCACTGCTGAGGCTCCACCCCAAACATCTCCAGGTATTCCCCAACTCATAGCTGGCAAGCCTACCTGGAGAAAAAGCTGGGATTCACTGAGCTTTGCAGCATGATCCTAAACCGAGTGGCTGCGCCAGTTCTCCCATGCTCCTAGCCACTACACCAAACTGGCTCGAGGAGTTTTGAGTCTGAGTTACTGACAATAATAGCTCATGAAGTATGGGCAATTTTGAGAATCAGTGTGCATAAGTTTGAACAAAGTAATTTGAACACTGTAATTTGTCATAATTAAAACTGCTAACCATAGATCAGAGAAGGGCAGATGTAAAAAAATATGGAATTCGAAGTGGGCTTTCAGTACAACTCTAAACATCAATGGCCTTGGAAGGATATGGATTTCAGTGTTTGCCTCCGATTGGTACAGTACCTAAACAGTCAATATATATGCAGCTTCTCCTCTTCAAATGAGCCCAGATTCTGTCAGAACTATTCAGCTCCAGAAAGCATGAGCTCAGAATCCAACGAAGTATCAGGACTCAGGCGTTAGGCATAAGACTATCCATAAAGTGAGCCACACTTTTTATGTCACACTAGACAGACCCTCTCCAATAAGTGAATAGCACACATCACACTACCCCCTCCCCCATAGCACACAACTTTATGACATTCATTGAGAAACACAGAAGGGAAAGTTTCATAAGTTCAAAAACAAAGGAGGAAAAGTTTGATAGCTTCAAGAGCCAGTTTGGTGTAGTGGTTAAGTGCACGGACTCTAATCTGGGAGAACCGGGTTTGATTCCCCACTCCTCCACTTACACCTGGCTGGATGACCTTGGGCAAGCTGTAGTTCTGACAAGAGCTGTTCTCTCAAGGACAGCTCTGGAAAGAGCTCACTCAGCCCCACCTACCTCACAGGGTGTCTGTTGTGGGGAGGGGAAGGGAAAGGAGTTTGTAAGCCGCTCTGAGACTCCTTTGGGTAGTGAAGGGTGGGGTATAAATCCAATTTCTTCTTCTTCTTCTTCTTCTTCAATATACCTTCTGGCACTGGGTGTGTAACACAGTAAAGAATAATAAGAAGGTAAACACACACACACACAAACAAACAAACAAACAGGGGGTGACAGCTTATATGCAGAGAGGAGGAATCCTTTGAAAAACAAATGAGAGTTAAAACCAGACAGGGTTTCCAGTGATGGAGAAACTAGATTGTTTTCTGCAAATTAAATAATAATTTGCAGCTCTTTCCCAGATATCTGGGATGAGTTCGAACTGTTGGCACTGCAACCAGGCAAAAGGTTGGTACTCGCATATGTGGTGGGAATGTACCAAAGTTCAGGATTTATGGAAGAAAA